TTCCACCGCTCCCACATCTCTGTTCTAAGATACCAGGGATTCTGTGGGTCGTGACCCCATCATGACCCGTCCAGTCAACACGCTGGACTCGTCCTATGTAGAGAAAACTGACGTGCCAAGTTTGTTGAACTTTGCCGGTGTAATGGAAAAAAAAACATTTATTATCGCCCCGGAAGGGTACAAGAAACTTTATCCTTAAGAAATTGGTGAGTTAAATTTCTGTGAATCCAGCTCATCCGTGTCTCGAAACGGTGGCCTTGCAGTGGGGATTTATTTTCTGGTGATTTCAAACCACGTAGGCCGTAAAATCTGATGGTACTGTGTCGTTGGACGAGGTCAGCAAGTGACATGGATTCGGAGCTGATCAATACGTAGTTCCGTCTTCCTTTAAGATAGGACTCTTAAAATTAGGAGGGGTTTTAAACTTTCAAGACCCCCCAAGGACCAAGTTCAACATTTGTGACTATCGTGTCCTACGTCACATCAGCTGTGGGTGAACTCGCCTTGCCTTTACGATAATGAATTCAAAAGCGTTCAATATCGCCTCTCTAGGCATGAGGCATGTTGTCAGGTCCAGCTTTTATGTTAACACTGACGATGGAAGCGGTATTTTCATCCGAAATGTTGACAGCAGGCTACAAGACAACTCGACGTCACGACCCAGAAGACCACAATCGATATTTTGTAACGGATTTGATATTTAAATTTAAAAAAATATGTAATGTAAATCGAATATTTCGATAAAGAACATCATTTAATATTTTAAATGTTAAAATGTTAATTATTGTAATATTTTAATATTTAATAAGAATTATTGTGATTAGAAGGACAAGATTTAATATATACTTATTATATCACAATATGACGCAACTTTACCATCTTAAAAAAATATGTTTCTTTGAGTTTTTGGTAATGTTCATTAATATTGTATTAAGCTTTTTCCCGACGTTTCATACGAAAACCCTAATTACAATTGAAAAAATACAAACGGAGAGCTAGGAGGGAAGACGGATGTTAAGTTCTTGTCCTGTTACAGCTCTGTTCCAAACGCCACTACTGTCCACGCTGCCCGGAAGTGGGACCATTGGATTTCCGTCCAGTGTTCGCCCCATCAATTTGTCTCCGCAGCCCCTCCCAATTGTGGCCCCCATGGGGCCCAGTCCTCCAAGCAACAACAACCACGGTAGCCCCTGTGGGAGTAACAAAGAAGGACCTACCTCGCTCTGTGTCGCGTCCCCAGGCCAAGGACAGGTAAGTGTAGAAGGGGATGTTTAAATACATAAATCGACATGCGACAGAATTTGATTTGTTTCCAGGTAATGTAAGCTATAAGATGTGGGTAGGGTTTGAGGTCCTCACGGGGGTGAGTCCGAAGATGGTCGTCTTCTAGGTTTTAGCGCCGCGTGGTCTGGTACCAGACTGCACGGCGCTACACCCCAGAAGTCGGCCATATTTAATAAGAACTCCACAGGACGCTGTCCGGACTAACAGAGCAGCATATATCAATTTAAATCATTACTCGAATTTACTAAATTAAAGATTGTAATACGATTTAACGCAGTGAAAAATCTGTTTTTTTTTTGTGTTACATAGAAGTTCTCGTGTGTAGTTGGCGATAATGAATGAGTTTCACTGCACAGTTTCCTCACGGAAGCGAATAGAAATTTAATCAACAAAATTATCACCAACCAATCAGCGCCGATCATTATATAGGCTTATATCACAACAGGTAACACAGACCTAGAAATGTAAAAAAAAATGTAAAATAAATTTTTATCAAAATAATGAAAATGTTTAGGAAGGAAGACAGTCTGACATATAACAATTAAAAACACGCGCACTTTACAGTCTGCGTCGGTGGAAAAATGACTTATTGGCAGAAAACTGATGTGGATATCTTTGCCAGACTGTACACAGTTGTCCATTCCCGTTATCCTTGCCCGTCAAGAGCCCGATTATCGATGGAAATTAATAACAACGCCCCCCAAGGAAATGGCCGGCATTTCGTGTCGATACGCGATGCAATTGTGTAATCCGCTAAAAAAATGTCAGTAGAACGAAATTTATGCCAATTCCGTCCCTTCCCCGTCACGTCTTTCCTCATGGGTCAAGGTGTTCGTCTCGGTTTTCTCAGTATATCCCCTCTCATCGTGAGAAAAGACGTAATAACACTCTTTAAAACAGATATAATATATTTTCGTTTGTAGGATTTTAAGTTCCTTACAAAAATGGTTGTCTTGTGCAACCCAGAAGACAGACGTTTCCTCATCGCATATTATAAATTAGGGTTTCAGATGAGGCGTTCGAAAATAAAATATTATTAACGTGATCGGTACTAAGTACCTCCCGAATTTAAACTTCTCGTAATATCAAACCTGTCATTTTTCCTGAAACGCGAACAAGACTTTGGTATGATGTATGATGGCAGTTCCAAGGAGGATCGCCCTGTGTTGCAGAGCGCTCTGTTGGTGGCGAGCGGAGACTACAGCGCGTCGGGGCCCACACCGAGCCCCGGAAGGGGCCCCAGCACCAGTACGAGTCCCGGGCCCTGTTGTCCCGGGTCCCCCCTTCAGCTGACCCCTGTTCTTGTGGAGACGCAGATAGCGAGGCTCGCGGAGGCCGCGGACCACTTGGTGCGCAGTCTGCCGCAATTTGAACCAAAACCTCACAACACCAAGAAGAAAATCTGCAAGGACCTGGAGGTACAAGCCTTTAATCCACTCCGCACGCGACATCGCCGACCCTCGGACTTCGAGTCTTCACACTTGCAGCCCACAAATTTACGCTGTTTGATTATCCCACGTGTTCTGTCTTTAAAATATTTCGAGGTTTTTTATAAGTCAGTTCGTCCATCAGACGTCATTTTAACTATCTCTCATTGTTACACTAACAAGTTTAAACATTAATCAGATAATTCTCACCGTAACCAGCGATTATTTCCTTAAACAGCGTTAACCAGTTGATCCTTGTAATGGTGAAGAGCTGTGTTTTCTTCGCGGTACGGACTGAACTCTTAAATGTTATTTGGACGAGTTTCGGCTTCATGTAGCCTTGTCAGCGCGAATATCAAACGCTGGCCATGTAATCCTGGGGTCTCGGGTTCGATTCCCGGCGGTGCCCGAATTTATAACTTGTGTTGGGCAAGGCCGTGGTCTAGGCAACACGGAGTTTTCCTCCGTGGCATCCCAACAATTACTCCATTCACACACAGAAGAAGGCAATGGCAAACCACTTCTGGATCATCTGCCAAGAACGTATATGAACAGGTCCCAGTCCGAGAAAAGGATGGAAGGATCCTGTTCATATGGACCTGTCGTCACACAGAACACTAAATAAATAAATAAATAAAGTAGCCCCATATCAATATAGAAATTTTTACTAAACGCCGCCCTTCCAAGATTAATATCAGGATTCAAAATTGTGTTTGAACGCAATAAGACCCAGATTAACTTACCCCCCTCCCCCGGTTCCACTTTTCACCCCACATTTTCCTCTTCCAAATGCCTTGTCCTTATTAAACCCATCTCCACCAGAACGACGAACGGGCACTGCCTGGGGACCTTCGTAGCCGCAAATCAAAATTTATTCTTCCCCGCATTCAAAAAAAATGTATCGCGTTGTAACGTCCCTACTGCGTATTTGTGGGTATTGATGAGTCAGAAAGGTACGTCTAAGAAAGATGACGTAACAAGCGATTAAAAATGTGACGAACAGTTTCGTAATTTGTATTAATCACATTATAATATCGAGGAAATGAAGTCAAGAAGGAAAGATCATTGAGACATGTAGCGAGCTTTGCCGTAATGGGAAATCCTTGCCACATTTTAGTCAGAAGTCCTAAAGGGGGAAACCAAGGTAAAATAATTGTCGCGTACGATTGATACATTCCAAAATATTTGCAAATAAATTTATAATTTTAAAAAATGCTTGCTATATTTCCTGCCGGTCTTAATATTATTATGTGAAGTTTGAAAATCCTTAATCATTTTATTATGCAGCCTATTTGTTCATCACGTAAGAGAAGATTTTTCTTCGTGTCATGTGACCATTCATCGTAAATCACGGTCGCAATTCTGTGTCGATATTTCATGGAGACCACCTGACGCGACTTCAAATGCCATGACCTACAGACCGAGTTTCGTCTTGCAGATGGTGATGAGCATGTCCGAGGACGACCCTCGACGGATGGACGAGATACGCAAGTACGCTGCCATTTACGGACGATTTGACTGCAAGAGGAAACCGGAGAAACCTCTCACCTTGCACGAAGTGAGTATCACTTAAACCATTCAACGTCTTATATTTAATGAAGAATTGAGATTTCCTCTGTGTCAAAGCGCTACACCTCGAAGGCGTCACCTGTGGTATCCAACGTTTCGGAGGAAAGCACCGCTTCCATCTTCAGGGTGGAAGTGAGTCAAAATGGGGATGTTAATCGTAGGAAGAGGACTCATATCCGGATCTTGATGTACTTTTACCCTGAAAATTGAGGTCTGTAACCTCCTACACGGCGTTACAGCCCGGAAGGCCGGAGTCGACAGTCGAGAACGCGTTTGCGATTTTCCTGAGTTTTGTCAGAATTGTTTCGAACATCGCGAGAGTTTCGATGCGTTTGTGTTATTTATTTAGAAAATTGAGGTCTGTAACCTCCTACACTGCGTTACAGCCCGAAAGGCCGGAGTCGATAGTCGAGAACGCGTTTGAGAAACACGCGTCCGCGATTTTCCTGAGTTTTGTCAGAATTGCTTCGAACATCGCGAGAGTTTCAATGCGTTTGTGTTATTTATTTCCGTTGTGTTTGCGTCCTGTATTCGTCAACTGGATCGAACGGTGTGTAGACGGCGGGAAATTTCTCCACGACTAACCACCAAGGTGTGCTGTGAGGAAAACCATGAGAAATTTCAGTTTAGTCTAAGGTATGACGTCAGATAAGGAATGTAGGGGAAATTCTGTTTCTTCATTTTTCATTGTTTTCTTGGATCCTCCAGGAAAACGATGTTCATGGCCTCCACTTTTTCTACATAAAAGACCAGACATCTCATTTAGAAGTATCAGCTCTCGTAGTCTGAAGATATTTTCTCTTTTACAAGATCGGCAGAAATGAAATATCTTGATGTCCGTCCGGAGTTTCAGATATTTGTAGCTACTCGTAAACAGAAAAATAGGTTATAGAACACTGAACAGTCGAACATTCTTCGAAGCGATATGGGTCACATCGATCTGTAGGATCGATAACCCAGTCTGGGCCAGCATCCAGCGATGACCCAGTTCCGAGAGCATTTGCCCCTCACAACGCGGCCCGCGTTCTGTCTTCCGCGTATCTTACAAACATTTATAAACATTTCCATCGCTTCGTTTAAACAGAAATTCTCGTTATAAACTGGTCTGAGAGTTTTAAATATGAGAAATTATATGAGTCAAAGAAGTTTTCTTTTCTCTTACGAACTTTTCAGTGGTTAAATTATTACAAAGTTGATTTGAGCGTCGTATTAAAGTGGGATTTACGTTTCTCACAAACGTACTGCCGGGACTTGACTTCTCTTACTTATTTTTATATTATTTATTTATTTATTTAGTGTTCTGTCTGACGACAGGTCCATATGAACAGGATCCTTCCATCCTTTTCTCGGACTGGGACCTGTTCATATACGTTCTTGGCAGATGATCCAGAAGTGGTTTGCCATTGCCTTCTTCTGTGTGTGAATGGAGTAATTGTTGGGATGCCACGGAGGAAAACTCCGTGTTGCCTAGCCCACGGCCTTGCCCAACCCAAGTTATAAATTCGGGCACCGCCGGGAATCGAACCCGAGACCCCCAGGATTACAACGCCAGCGTTCTAACCGCTAGACCACCGTGGCTATTCTCTTACTTGGCAGATGATAATTGATTAATGGAGATGTTTTGTGAACACGTCGATGAACTTTCGGGTTCATTATAACGTGATTTTCCTTCGAACGACCGAACAAGTATCGACTTTTAAAGAAAGAGACTGTAGTTCTGCCATGGAATGAGTTATAACAGTAGTTTGTGGCCTGGGTTCGAGCCCGGTGTTTAACATTCTGGACGGTCAGTAAGAAGTTTCGTTGACGGGTGTTTTTGTAGATTTTATTTCGATTTTGGCGTCGCCATGTTGGCAACTGTGGAACGTCTGAAATAAAAAGACACAAGCTCATGCAATGTCAATAAAAACTTTTGGAGTCGGAGCAAAAAGAAACAATGAATCTTCAGGGTAAAAAAATGTTAGAAGTTGTAAGAGATCTTGATGACCTCTCTCTCTCTCTCTCTCTCTCTCTCTCTCTCTCTCTCTCTCTCTCGCTGTTTCCTTCATGGATCTTCGTTTGGAGCGCGTCGTGAGGTCTGGACGCTGAAGTTTCAGAAGTGTCTAGACTTTTGGACTGACTGATTCCATAATACAGATTCCTTCTTCAGAAACTGATAGTTGCTCAGCTGCTCTAAAAAATTCCCTGCCTTTCATGTAGAGCGAAATTTTGCGTTATGTTGTCGATGTTGGTATCTTGGGTTGTAACGTCTTGTGGACTTGCTGGTAGATACCAGTGTTTCGGATGAACATACTGCCTCCATCTTCGGTCCTAAAGATGGAGCTAATCCCAGAGAACCAACATCGTTATCTTCATCGCCTTGAGAACCTCGTATCTCCAGTCCTCCTTTTTCGCAGATGTCCCACTAGATTATTTCTGGAGCCAGTTTAATCCGGTCAACCCCTGCTTTAAGGGGAGAAGGAGGGTTTACAGAGCAATATTTTCGACTTGCGATATGAAACACAGATGACGGATATAAGAAATGCATAGAAAGTTTTGTGTGGAAACATCAAAGGTGGACCATGTCTCAAATTTATAATTCCACTACAGAAAAATGGCACAGAAACTTGTTATAATTCGTACACGAAATAAACAGACAGCTGGTATAGTGCCGGAGGTGGGGCGCGGGCCGCTTGTTGCGTTGTGTACGTGGGCGAGGTCTGTTGCATGTGGAGGGGGCAGGAGACCTCACGATTTGTCTCGGAGAGGCGCTACGCGCTCCGTAATTACGTAAATGAGGGGGGCTCTGCCTCAACCGGTGGCCGGAATAATGCAGAAAACTGGAAACTGCCATTGGCGTCTACAGCAGCCGGGTAGGCGTTCTTTGCCGTAGCTTCGAGTCTGTCAGTTGCTGCTGACATGGTTCATCGTTCTCTGAAATGTTCACAGACACGTGCACCATCAACTCATCCTCCCACGTTCTCATCCGTCCACTGATCTGTCTCTGTCCGTCCGTCCATTCTTCTACGTATCTCCTGCTTCTCTGTGCGTGTGTTTCTAATGAATTCGCGTCATTGGACGCTGGATGTTCAGTTGGTCAACAGATTCCTCCTTTCTTGTTGTGGTAAGCGTCGTAACAGAAGCCAGCCATCGCTCTGTGACCCGAGGAAAATATATCCGACCGCAACACAACCCGATTGTCTGATAGTCTTTGCCGAGACTGACCGAACAAAGTGGAGTAAGCACGTGTACTCGGTTGTACTAGAAGCTTCGAACCTTGCCCCCTTGTGTTGAGGCACGCGGTACCTGGAGGACGTCACGCTCCACTGTGGTTATAATTGCTGATGGGTCGTGACAGCCGAAAGGGGTAGTACCCACTGCCGGAACTTGCCCCAGCGTAACGCAATCATGTTTGACGTCAGAAGGCACGTGGAAGTTTCGTGGTAATAACCAAATATCAATGAGGAAAACCACCGATACCGCGTCCTTCCAGATACATACTCACTTCTAGCCAGCAGTCCGGCGTTCAGGTGTGAGGAATCCACAAGTGTTTTCCTTAATGCGAGTGTTACAGCGTATAAGAATCCAGTCCGTACCGCGAAGAAAACACTACACTTCACCATTGCAAAGATCGACTGGTTAACCTTGTTTAAGGAAATAATACGACTAAAACGCTAATTAACCTTTGGAGCCGAAGCTCTTTCAAATGAAACTTAAGAATTCAGTCCGTACCGCGAAGAAAACACCGCACTTCACCATTACGTAGATCAACTGGTTGACGCTGTTTAAGGAAATAATCGCTGTTTACGCTGAGAATCATTAGAAATTTATGATAAAAAGAATAAAAAATGAAGAGTTGCTGATTGTTAAAGCAAGTGGTACATATTTTTACCACCGAGCTTTAAAGTGTCGGCCCTACAGTTTCTCGGCACGTTATCGACTAAAATTTGCAACAAAAGAAAATCGCCTATTAACGTCGATGTGTCTGTTCGCCCGCATGTAAAAACTCGAGAACCGTTGAATCGATTTTGATGAAATTCGACATCGGAGAGTTCACTGTAATTTGTCGTCACATTCGAATTTTGGTTTAAATCGGACAAAAATAACGAAAACCCAAATAACCTGAAGGACTGCGTGATTTCAACCCAGAAGATGAATGTAATACGTATTTTCCCCCCTAAACGTTTGTATGTTCTTACAAGTCCACGCTACGTTTAAACCCAGATGACCAACGGCAGCACACTCAGAGTCAAATTTTGTCTTAAAACGTTCAGCAGTGTCGGGATTCGAAAACATTTTTCTTAGAGATTTGAGGTTATCACAGCGGTGAGTCTGAGGATGGATGTCTTCTGGGTTGTTGCGCTGTGTAGTCTGGTCGATGTTTACCGACGTTTCGGAGGTCATACTGCCTTTGTCATCAGAGTACGAAGATTTCTGTCTTCTGGGTTGTTGCGCTGTGTAGTCTGGTCGATGTTTACCGACGTTTCGGAGGTCATACTGCCTTTGTCATCAGAGTACGAAGATTTCTGTCTTCTGGGTTGTTGCGCTGTGTAGTCTGGTCGATGTTTACCTCCGTCATCAGAGAGGTAACTAACTTGACTTATCGCCCTATAAATGGAGACATAATCTCAGAAACGTCGGTAAACTACGGCGTAACACCACAGAAGACATTCATCTTCGTGTGGTCGTGGAGAATAAGGTACTTCTCACTCTAAATTTCTACGCGCATTTAATGAAAATAACTCGCCTTTTTTTAAATTTTTAAATAGAAATTCGGTTTGTGATTAAATTATGAGAAGGCTAAATTGTTGAATTTTTTGACTTCGCCCGTCATCTAGTATCGTAAAAAAAAAAGGTTTTTAGAAAGTGGATTTATTTCGTAGCTCAGGTGGAAAGGCGTGGAGTACTACTGTACCGAGTCGTCTTATTTTGATCGTGAACTTCATTTTCGTTTCTTATTGAAGTTCCCAGGCGTGAGTCGGAAATGCCCCAGACATGGCTGGTCAGTGTTTTACAAATAATCGCCCTTGCAGGAGACAGGCGCACAAGAAGGAAATGAAGAAGTCCTGAGATTACCAAATACGGCTCGAATGCATTTCTCATTGAGCGCCGGACAAAAAAGGTGTGAAAAGAGAAGAAGAAGAAGAAGAAGAAGTTAAATAGAATCGTTAATTTTTCGTTTGCCGGACACACCTGCAGTCCTGCAAGCTAAATCCCGTGCTGGGTCCTTTTTTGTGAGAGTAAAAACTCACGCAGACAGACAATGGCGGCCGAAGCACGCACCGAGAAACTTAAGCAGAGCCGCGGGCAACAGCGGCTTAAGTCCGGTGACTGGACCAGTTTCTGAAGCTGCGGGTAGTCGTGATATTGTCTGAAGGTGCTGAGAAGAATAAGACGTCTTATGATATTTGTCTTCTGGGTTGTAATGCCATTTGGACTTGTAGGTCGTTGTAAACGTTTCGGAGAGACGTACTGCCTCCATCTTCAGGGCTGGTTAGAATATTTAGATTTAAGAAGAGCAAACAACAGGATGATGGAGAAATTGTGTAGTGACGGTATTATTCGTTCAAACGTAGAACGATGAGATGGAGACGTAACATGCATTTCAAAGTTCAGTTGAAAACCTCAAATCCTACATGGTAGATGTTTGCCGACGTCTTCTGGGTTGTTGCGCCTTGTAGTTTGGTCGATGTTTACCGACGTTTCGGAGGTCATACTGCCTTTGTCATCAGAGTATGAAGATTTCTGTCTTCTGGGTTGTTGCGCCTTGTAGTTTGGTCGATGTTTACCGACGTTTCGGAGGTCATACTGCCTTTGTCATCAGAGTATGAAGATTTCTGTCTTCTGGGTTGTTGCGCCTTGTAGTCTGGTCGATGTTTACCTCCGTCATCAGAGAGGTAACTAACTTGACTTATCGCCCTATAAATGGAGACATAATCTCAGAAACGTCGGTAAACTACGGCGTAACACCACAGAAGACATTCATCTTCGTGTGGTCGTGGAGAATAAGGTACTTCTCACTCTAAATTTCTACGCGCATTTAATGAAAATAACTCGCCTTTTTTTAAATTTTTAAATAGAAATTCGGTTTGTGATTAAATTATGAGAAGGCTAAATTGTTGAATTTTTTGACTTCGCCCGTCATCTAGTATCGTAAAAAAAAAAGGTTTTTAGAAAGTGGATTTATTTCGTAGCTCAGGTGGAAAGGCGTGGAGTACTACTGTACCGAGTCGTCTTATTTTGATCGTGAACTTCATTTTCGTTTCTTATTGAAGTTCCCAGGCGTGAGTCGGAAATGCCCCAGACATGGCTGGTCAGTGTTTTACAAATAATCGCCCTTGCAGGAGACAGGCGCACAAGAAGGAAATGAAGAAGTCCTGAGATTACCAAATACGGCTCGAATGCATTTCTCATTGAGCGCCGGACAAAAAAGAAGAGAAAAGAGAAGAAGAAGAAGAAGAAGAAGTTAAATAGAATCGTTAATTTTTCGTTTGCCGGACACACCTGCAGTCCTGCAAGCTAAATCCCGTGCTGGGTCCTTTTTTGTGAGAGTAAAAACTCACGCAGACAGACAATGGCGGCCGAAGCACGCACCGAGAAACTTAAGCAGAGCCGCGGGCAACAGCGGCTTAAGTCCGGTGACTGGACCAGTTTCTGAAGCTGCGGGTAGTCGTGATATTGTCTGAAGGTGCTGAGAAGAATAAGACGTCTTATGATATTTGTCTTCTGGGTTGTAATGCCATTTGGACTTGTAGGTCGTTGTAAACGTTTCGGAGAGACGTACTGCCTCCATCTTCAGGGCTGGTTAGAATATTTAGATTTAAGAAGAGCAAACAACAGGATGATGGAGAAATTGTGTAGTGACGGTATTATTCGTTCAAACGTAGAACGATGAGATGGAGACGTAACATGCATTTCAAAGTTCAGTTGAAAACCTCAAATCCTACATGGTAGATGTTTGCCGACGTTTTCTGAGGTCCTTTCTGCCTCCATCATCAGGGCGATGAGTGACCTCTGAAACGTCGGTAAACTTCTACCAGAAGATGTGGCCTGGATTCATCTTGCGCAAGACGGAGTCTAATGACGTCTTTGTCTTAAGGCTGTAATTAAATTCCATGCTACATAAAAGCCGAGACTTCTATAAGACGTGATATTTGATGTTCTCCTGGGTTTTGATGCAGTACGCGCATTCCAAAGTTTCCGAGACACCTGCTGTCTCCATTTTCAGGGGTTCGATGATTATAGATGATAGAGAAACCGAGCATTGTCGCTGAAATGCCGCGAAATTTGCCCGCTGACCAAGGCCCTGGGTCCCTGCATGTGACATGGTTCCCTCTGCTTCTGTCTTGTCGTAAGTCTCAGGGTAAAGAGTACTTGCTACAGTTGGTATTTATGACGTAAGTATGCAGGTAGACGGACAACTCGCATTCCCCATAGCCAACTCACACCAGCTGCCTGCAACAGTGTTCTATGTACTGTCTGTCTCAGTTCTAGTGACGTTTTTTAATTTGTTTTGGATTACGGGGTTCCTATTAAAATTTATGCTTTGAAAAATTCTATGCTAAAAATGTACCACCAAAATTCAGGGAAATTTTGCAACGTAAAATGTCACTTGGCTTGAAGAAAAAAAATGAGGTATTTATTTCATTGAAGTTTGAAGACAAAATGAAAAGGTTCCTATAGGATTGAGATGTAGTTCGGATGGGGGCTACAAGAAACACACGCTGAATTTTGATCTGGAAGTCTGTTAAGAAGCGAGGGGGTTGAGGAATAGTAGGGTGGTGGGGAAATTTGTATTTTAAAAAAAATGTCTTTGGGAAGTGCGTTCTGAGGTTGGAGGCTGTCAAATTTTTGCGCAAATATAAAAAAAATTAATCAGAATCTTCAGTTATTATGCTTACGGACAGACAGACGCTGAGTCCCTGTCGTAAATTAATTTAGGCGTGTTGTACTTGTGTCACTGTTACAGGTCAGCATAACGCGGTACATATGCCTGAAGATCCGCTAATGAATGGCTGTCAGCAGACAAGACATGACGCTGCCATATATATAGCACACTGTGCAGCTACTGTAAAAACAGCGGTAAAAAACCACGCCGGTGTTGTAATAGTGGGCCGCGACTTTACGTTGTGTTAGCGAGATCTGTAATAGCAGCACACACACCCCCCCCCAAAAAAAAAAAAAAAGACTTCCGCGTCACAAACGACGAGAATTTATCTATGGATGACCTTCGTACTCAGCGACCACCAACTACCACAGAGCCAGTGATGGCGGGAGTGGGCGGATGTCCGGTGAATTAGTGTCAGTGTTTCAGCATCTGACTCCAGATGTCATTCCCAGTCATAAATGCCTCATGAACAAAGGTCCGATTCTCAATGGTTGCGGAACTATGGATCTTTTTTTAAATTCAAGATGGTTTAATCTTACGTAGAACACATCGGTAATGCAGTTCCTCTGTTCTGATTACTTCGGTTCATGCAAAATGTTTTAAGTGTAACCGGAATATGACCCTGGAGTATTGAGACAAAGCCACCAGATGTCGGACAGTGACATCAGAGCCGAAACAGTGGCAAAGCGTTGTCTGAATGTTTTGCGACGACCAGAGCTACTTTGCCTCTCGTCTGAGACTGCATTTTGCTTGAAGATTCCCTCCAGAACCAGTGACTGACGCCTGTAATCCCCGTTTCAGGTGTCCGTAAACGAGGCAGCAGCTCAGATTTGTAGGTTCATGCCAGCTCTTCTTACGCGACGCGACGAGTTGTTTCCACTCGCCCGCCAGGTGGTGCGCGACTCGGGATATCACTACTCAAAGGGTCACTCCAAGTAAGTTTCTTCATATCAGTGTCTCTCGGAACTTCCGAATAAACTCTGAAGCTATATTAAGGAGAAGAAAAGTTGTAATACATCCGTTATTATCTGTAGATTTCAGACCAATTTAGTTCTTAAATTGTGCTTTTCTCTCTTTCTTTATTTTTAAACATGAGCGATCAGTGGTCGAAGATATATTTCTTAATATTGTCAAAGCATATGTAAATACGTACTGTGCTGTTCATTGTAATATCGTGTACACCACCGTTTTTGAGGAACTTACCGCCTCCATCTTCAAGATGATGCGGTATGTTCCTTCGAAACGTTGGTATCTGCCCATGAGTCCACATGGCATCAAAACTAAGAAGACCAGCATTGACATTTTTATTGTCGTGAGAAGCAAAGATCTCATACAGGTACTGTTCCATCATGTGGATGTGGGAAATAAGTTTTCTGAAACAAAAAATAAGAATTAAGCACTGAGTTGATTTCAACTTTCCATTAAACTTAAGTACGAACCAAGCGTTTCCTGTAGTAAGCTTAATAAACGTTAGTGAATGTAAGCCAGACTGTGGTCATGGAGAACACAAGCGAGGGACGCCATAACCTGCTGTGTTAAAATGTGCTGCTGTCCAGTCTCACACATTTCCTTTCTATGTAGTGAAACTCAACATCTATAATGGCATCAAATTACTGACCAGTACAAATGCCGCCTGGTGGCAGCCTGTCGACATGTTTCAGGACGCATTCTGGGACAGGGCGCAGCAGCTGTAACAATGGCGAAGACGGCGGCTGTAAGAGGCCGCGGCTGGAGGGAGTACCACCCTCCTTGTCACCTTCCTCCTGCGACTTTCTTGACGTGGATCCTCAGCAGCGTCTTCGGAGACAGGTTTGTGTGTGGTTTCTCTGTACACCGTGATGGTACGCAGTTACTGATCCCTGCCCCACTGACCATTACTAAGTGTTATGATGTAGTGTTTGGCACCGCACCGTATTTCCAAATGTCACATCCTGTATTGTATCAGGAGCGGCTAGAGCAAATCGCGGATGAACTGAGGTCGCTGGGAGAGCGAATGGAAGAACTGGTGTCGGCAGCTCAACAGGTGAGAGACCTGAATGACTACCCAGCGCTGCACACGCTGCAGCAGCAGTTGGAACTACTGCAAGGCAAGCAGACGCAGCTACTCGTGGAACAAAGTGACCTCATGAAGCAGCAGCCCCACTCTTCGGCCAGGTGTGCGAATGTCTTTACTTAAACCTTCGGGGACTTTTCTTCCAGGTGCGCCTTATCAGTGATTTTACTGATTGAGCTGTTATCAGAAACTAAAACTGTTCAGATTGGAATTATTTTCTGAGCAGGATGTCTGAATTTTCAGTATGGGAATTGTTAAAAGTTAAGTTTCTAAATTTTTTCACAGCAATACAGAGTTATTTGGATTTAAAGTTCTGTAATCAGCTGTTTGAATGTGAGGAAGATAATCTACTTTCAGGCTGAGAGATAATTTGTCTGATCGTTATATCGATTCCATATTGTGTCAGGTATTACAGGAGAGGACGAGTGTCATCTTGCTTTGACTCGGAGCGGCCCGACACGGATGACACGGACTCCCAGTTTTCCTTTAGCAATACCAGCTCTCCGTCACAGGTAATACTTGTTTCGTTGTTTCCGAACTTTAATATTACAAAGTGTCCTGGCAGATTGTAGCGCTCCTTCATATTTGAGTGGTCCTCAGTTCAAATTTCAGCCTGAAAACTGGTTATTCTGACTGAGGATTTTCATTGTTTTACCCAGTCCATCCCGACACTGCTGCTGTTCACGTTTCAAATTCATTATTCATTAATCATCCTGTAATTTGACACTATAAAGCCTGAACTACTGATAATGTCATTAAGTAAATCATAAATAAATAAATAGCAATTGTAATATTTATTGCTCATAATGTTTTGTTAAGAAATGTGCGCAAAATAAAATATTTACCAGTGGTTTTTGTTATGACATTTGTAGGAAGTGGGGGATTCACGGGACTCGACAGCAACACGTGATGGTGTTTCTGAAGGGAATGGTACATTAGATATTAAGGGCCGTAGTCCCTGCAAGATCTCAAAACAGGTAGGATAACATCTGCATGAGTCTTGTTTTTATTTAAACATAACCTAAAAATCATCAATAATAACCCTCGGGAATTTAGGACACGTGTAAAGGGATGTAGCTTGTTGATTTGCTGATTGATGTCTTTCATATTATTGTCCATAGGAGGAGAACACTAATTGTGCAGCTGAAGACGACAAGACGAACTTGCCGATGTAGATGGTAACCGAAGGCGGCAACCTGTGTTGCAGACAAGAGTCGTGCCAGACGTTCTTACTGTTATATTTCCTTTTTCTTTCCTGTTTTCATGGCTTTGTCAGTTTCAGGTAGATGGAGGTATGCTTGCTGTCTGTCTTTTACCATCCGCAGTAACATGGTCAACCGATATGACAGGATCTCATATCTGAGATTCTGTACAGAAATTTCTTTCCTAAACATTGCATATTCGAGCCCCTGTAAGATACATGTGTGTGTCCTGTACTGTTAAACTTGTTGCAGAATTAATACCTTATTTGTATTTACTAGAATCAGTACAATCCTAAAATTGCATAACTTAATGTAACATAACCTAACCTAACATAACTTAACCTAACCTAACATAACTTAACCTAACCTAACATAACATAACCTAACAATTGACCAAATTCGGAACTGCTATAGAAATACTAAGTCTGGACATGTACTTCGGTAATACAAGTACAAGCATCTGTTTGTTGAATACTGTAACTGCTTTACAACACTGTATAAGAAAAAGAGACATGATCCTCTGGTCACAACATTATAAAAATTGTTCATTTTGAAATATTTTACAATGCGCTGATTTGATCTGTAGGTAAATGTCAAATGAGAAATACATTGGGTATGGAGCTGAAAAATTATACACGAAACATAAAATGTTTGTAAAACCTTCAGAAACAAAGTTCTGCTTTCTTAGTGTCTACTAGTTTTAAAAAAACTTAACATCTTCCCATAGTTTTTCTGTGTCTGTCTTGGGGTACAGAAATTCATACCCTCGTAGTCCATTGCAAAATATTAAACACTTTGTACAGATTTTATCAGTTTCAATACTAAATTGAAAATGTGTATGGGAGATTTACCAAATTTCAGTGGTTCACAATTAATTATGTTTCATCATTTGCGCAAAAGCCAGGAAATTGGCCAATCGTGCAGTATCCTGCTATGAGTACCTATCATCAGATTATCATGTGGGGGATATATGTGTCAAAATATGATAATTAATATTATAAACACTAGTTTTAAATTTTATGATGAAACAGTTTTAATTTATTGTCCAGAGCAATACATAAACACATAGTTCATCATTTCATCGTAATAGAACTGGGTTACAGTTACTTTCTTCTTTGTATGGAATTATCAGTGTTAACAAAGCCTCACACTTTCATTGTGGAATATGATTAAATCAGAAAAATTCAATATAAAGTACAAAACAGAGTATCTTAATTAATCATCGTGAAAAAATTTAAATTCTGATCGTGGTGAATGCTTGGTAGATTTATGGATGAAGCCAGAGATTTTATCCATGTTATCCTTTGAAGCTTAAAAGAAATGTAACATGCTGGTAATTGAATATTCTCTGGTGTTACAGTCTTATGATAACCTAACCTAACTTTATCTAATGTACCACACAGAGATGGTACCCTTTTCTCTCTACATGAAGTATCTGAAGATGGAGACAAAGTCACCCTTCTGAATGATATTTATCCTTCGCCAAAAGGTGGATAATATCATGTTGATCTAGTTTCGTCTTCACTTAATATTCAACTTCCTTTCATTTATTCAATATTGTTTCATTGTGATGATGTTCTGCTGTGTGTTGAAGTTTCAGGTGTGTGCAGTGATGTCATGTGTATTTGCAGCAGCACCATGAGGCATGGACCACGGAGCCAGGTGGGCCTGCCGGTGGTTCCGAGACAGCAGGGCGCTGCCGGAAGGGAGTCGCTGATTGGGGTGGGGGGTCACCCAGCAAACAGTTGGCTTCTGACTATAGTAACTGATCATTCTCAAGTAGCTGCGTGTATATGCAGAGCTGTCGCGAGGGTTTTGACTCGACTCGTGCCGCGCGGCGTTGTCGGAAAAATGGTGCCTACAGTGTCGTTTGACAGCGTTTCGCAAGTACAGCTTCATTCATCTTAAATACTTCTTGCATCTCGTGTCCTTCAAATTGGATTGGAGGATAATTATGAATGATGGGTGCATTAGAAATTGGCCATGGTCTATTTTAAAATATCACATGCCCACGTTTCTGTTGTAATATTGTGTTTATTTGTCTGCGTAACTAATGCTCATAGTCGAGGACCAGCTGCGTAATAAATGTCCCAAAGCAGTGTTACAGCATTTCTGATTTGATGATATAGCAGTCTGATGAGTAAGTACAGTAGTTCCCTTGCATGTTACTACCGTCGGCCCGTTGGCAACACAGCGCTATGTAGTGTCATAGCTTACTTTTCACTTGTCTGTCTGTCTTACTGTTTCCTTTCCAGACGGAACTATAGAATTGTAGAAACTTTCACAAGCCTTGTCAGAACAAAATAATTTCCTTTAAGTCGATTAACCGATACATTTACTGCACAGCTGTTCAGCTTTTCCAAAAATTAAATTCTGAATCTCCTTCAGTCCAGGGGTAGAGCATTCGTGTTAGCAGTGTTAGCCTGGCTAACACTGAAAAATTAAAACTAAAAAGTCTTACTTTCATGGTTCAATGATACTCCATGTCCTGGAACACAGCAGAATTGACCAGATAAAATTCGTTATTAATCGCCTCCATCTAGCCCATGTCAGCCACGTCATTAAGGCTTACATTTCCCATCTGTGCAGGCACAATTAGAAGAAAAATGGTACAGAATAGGCCTGAGGGGAGGAGGGACTGCATGACCTTCCAAGCTAGAATCAGGTATTTCTTGTGAATAATTTTCAGAAAAGGTCTTTACCCACAAAAATTCTATATTTAGTTTTTATTAATTTGTCCAGCCCACTGGGCCGAAGGGAAGTGTACGTTGTTAACTTTGGCTGCAGACGGTTACCACACACCGTTTCATGCTGAATCAGCACAGGAGTACATACTGGTTGCTGGTGTGCATGCTAATTGGTGGAGGACTCTGACTCTTACAGGTTGTGCTTCGTGGAATGGGGTCGTACTTTGCACCTGACCACGGTTGTTCTTCTCGTTTCTTCTAGACTGTAAGCAGATTAGAATTCTACTTTCAAAATGAAAAATTCTGAAGTGTTTTTGTTGAATTCTCATGTAATTTATTTTCAAAAGTATTTTCCTTTTCAGACATAGAAGTATGTTTACAGGATTGCCAACTGATACCCAACAAGCTTATCCCTAAAGTCAGTCTTGATTGTCATAAATAGAAATTTACGTTTCGCTACCTGCTACTGTATAGGTGTATGAATTTATAAAGCCCTTAGATACAGACTGATTTGTTTAATGAAATGATGTACGCCTTGTTTGCACCAAATTTGGTAACTGAAGATTTTTTTTTCCTTGCTTTGATAATTGTGAATAAAAATACCAGAACTTTGAGCAGACCTTAAAGTAGTGGAATTCCCCAGTATGATAATAAAGTTATCAGAATTCATATTGTTCTGACTTTGAAAAATTTAATCCTGAAGAGTTGGCATACCTGAAATTTCAGTATTTGCTTTTTACTGCTGTATTTGCCATGTGTTTTGAATTATTCATCCGTCTTGTTTTCTTTGTATGCAGAATTATAATGTACAAGAGCTTTTTAATTTTTTGTGTAAAGTTGTGTGTTGCCAACTTTATTGTTTGGAAGAGGTTGTCATCTTGTGAAACATGTAGTGTTTTTTGACTTCCACTTTTTTATAACATGTTTAAAATATATTGTAAATGGAGATGTAGTAAATGTTTTTTGTGACCTAAACTAGATTTTAACCCTCCTTCAGTATTTTTTGTGTTCATCAAGATATGGCTGATTTGCAGTGTAATTAAAGGGAATTGTTATTATTAGGTGAATGAGAACAGGTCATGAGTGAGTGAGTGAGAGAGATAGAGGGAGAGAAAAAACAAGTGCTGTCACATAGGCGTCATGAGACACAGTGAGAGAAAAGGAATAATCTTGCAACAAACTCTTTTAGCTGTAATCTTAAAACTTTGCATACTCTGTAGTGTATTAGAATATAAATAAGCAAACAAACAACTATTAACACTATAAAAAAGACGCTATTGCCATGCGCGTTTCGACCTCAAGGGGTCATCATCAGTGGCATCAGGGAAATCACTGTTCTGGAGTTCACAGGTACGGACGACGCAACTACAGCTCACCGCAGACCAGCTAGGGCCACCGGACCACCAGATAAATAGCTAAGTGCAGAGTCTATTCCTGTGAATAACAACATCTGGTGTAGTGTCGCTTAAAATACTTTTCGTCAAATGTCCTATTCATTATTTATTTTCTAAATCAAGTTTGAGCCATTTAATTAAATTAATTGATTTCCCTGATGATGACCTCTTGAGGTTGAAACACGTGTGGCAGTAGTGTCTTTTTTATAGTGTTAATAGTTGTTTGTTTGCTTATCTATATTCTTTTAGCTGTAATGGGGAACGGTGGAGGTACAGTGCTCCAAAATATTTTCCTCAGGACTGGACAGAATCCAAGTTAGTGGCAGTGAATTTAAAAAGTTGTTTGTGAAGATTGTAAGTCCAGTTATCGAAAAATGCCACTCTAATTCTTGTTATCTTTTAGCATGATGGTAATATAAATTCATCAGTTATAAGTGATTTCAGGCACAAAAAATGAGTCACTAGCTCTTTTACTGCTAGCAGGTATGCGGGCAGTTCGATGTGCGATGTGGCTTACAGAGACTCGTGTTACAGTTGGTACAGGACACGCTACTGGACGAGGGATTGCGAGTGGTAAAGGAGTTGGTGGCAAATCAAAACAAGGATTCCAGCACTGGGAGCGATAATTCATATTGCGACTCGTATAACAATGAGAACAAAGTTCAGGTAAATGGGGAAACTACTGATCTGATTGATGTGTTCATTGCTTGTTCAATGTTGGTCTTCGCAACTGCGCTTGTGGACTGCCGTCATGCCTGCAACATGTATGATACAATATTGTTCACTGCAGGTAATTGCATCGAGTGGTGGCAATATTATTGCAGTGGCAAATCCTGCTCTGTCTATGTCACCAGCAATTGTACCACCCACGCCGGTCGTGTCAGACACTGGAAGTGGTACTGATAAGAGGTCATCCACCCCAGTGCTGGTCCTGAAGCAGGAGCCGCCGTCTCCTGCCATGTCACCGTCCCCAACGATAAGATTGGCCAAGTCAGAGTGAGTCGTCATGCCATTGGGATTGAGGTAGGCTCTGTTTGTCGAGCGCTTCATTTACATTGAAAACTGTCTTATTCACAAAAGTGAGCCTTTGAAATTAACTGGTATGGTAATTTAGGATACAGAATGGCACCGTTAATGTTTAATGTAATGATTCCTGGACTGTGTTCTAAGGATCCCCAGTGGTTTCGTGAATAATTTTTCTGATGATGGATTTTGTTATGAATTTTCTTATAGTGTTTCAGATCTTGCTTGATGTCCTCATATGTACTTTTCTGTCTCATTAAAGGGCTATCACATTTCAATCATCCAAAGTATCTTGTGGACTGCTGTTACCAGGAAACAAGGCAACATGTATGCAGTCAAATTTCTCAGTGTGAATGTATATTTGACAGTGTATGAGCCCTGTTATGATGAACGATGGTTTGTTTCAGGATCAGAGATACGAACCAACACAAGTCTGATATGAGGGCCGTCCTTATGGAGAGAAAAATAATAAATATGCAAGAGGTCCAGGTCCTTCTCGGAGGTGGTGTGAAGGAACGAAAAGCATTCATCATTTTTATTAAGGAGATTTAGCAACTCTCTCCTTTACACCACCCCCAGCAAAAGTGCAAAAGTTTACTGTGATATTTGTGAAGTTGTTTGTTGTTCATTTGTTTTTGCCACTGCTGCTGCTGCGTGCTGCAACAGTCTGAGGGAGAGTTTGTCTGTGCTCAAAGCTCCATGCGTGCCTCCCTATTCTCCTACGGCTTCTATCACCTAAAACTTCAGTCATGTTTCAAAATGTAACATGCAATTTATTTTTAATTGTATGAAAACTGTGGTTGGTATGAGTCAAAGACTCGCCGAAAGACTTCTCAAATGTAGAACGTCGTATCTCGGATAGCTTTGCACAGGACTGATCCCGTGTGGTCAGTGAGATAATTATTATGGATGAAATTTTTATTTAGTCCATGTAAAAATAATCGTTTCTGCAGACATGTTCCATTTTGAAATACTGTAGTGACTTTTGCTTCGTCTTTGAAGGCTGCGTTCACATCGCGTTAACTCTGCTTAGCTCATAACCAAGACAGAGATTACACTTATTGCTTCCTTAATATGGAAACCAGATAGAGCTTGTACAGTTTTAGCGTAAACTTTTATCTTTTAGGGATGCAGAGTTCTTAAGTATGAAATTGAGTGCAAACGTCATATACCTTTTACTGAAATTTTTGACTATTCGCATAGAATATTAAACTTTAAAAAATAAAATTTCTTACACTTTTAAGCTTGAAAAAGCTGTTTTATGAATATGTAAAAAAAAATGTATAAGACAGTCTCCCCTTTGTGAGGATAAATTTAATTTATATTTTGTAGGAATGGCCTTAGCAGGAATTTACAGAGTAGGGAGCAGACATTTTCTGATGATACACCAAACATCAGGCCTTAAAATGTTTAGTTTTAATCATTTTGCTGAAATTTCTGAAGATCACTCTTAATGTTTAGATATTTATATCATGGAACCATTTTATGCAGATGTTTTTTTGAATCAAGATTTATCATTTAATCACAGATCTCAGAGATGCATTATTATTGTGTAGTGAGCTGTACATGCGTATGTGAACGCAACCTGACAAGTTTTAAGTTATCCATTCTGTGTTCCCATTATTTTCATGTGTGACCCTGTTGCATCTCTAGACACAACTTTGAAACAGTACTGACAACCTTAAAACACTCCGATAGAGCCAAGTAAACAGGTTTCTAGAGTGTCCATCGACTCACCTTGTAATATAGACAGCGTAGCGATAAATATATATTCACTGGCTACAGAATTACACATGGTACGAGCGATGTCTGAACTCGTGTAAGATATTTTGATGCCAAAACGTGATTCCCACATAGAAGTTAATTTACAATAAAGTTTCTTTATTTTTGGAATTATTGGGTTACATTTACAGAGACCTGGTAGTTGTAGCGAGGTGGAGTACTTCCGCTAATCACAGGCATCATAATGGAGTTTTTTTTAATGAAATTGTGATGCAACTCAAGGGTGCTCTGCCATCTTAATGTTTCTGGTAATTTTATTAATTAAAATGGGTGTGCAGTGGAAGAATTCATATCAACTTCATATAATAAATATATTGTCAGGATGTCAGATGCCAAATTCAGATATCATAAACAAGCATCAGTGTCTTGATATTAACCCCTTCTGTATTATACTTGAGATATTTCAGTTAGAAACATTGGATTTATTTGGTGTTCCTTAGGAATAGCCAAGAACCTTATGTGCCATCTCTTGACAGTTAATGAAGTTTGAAACTAATAATAATAATATATTACTTCAGCACTTTTAGATACAGCGCGATGAAGATTAGTTTCTCTTACCTTGGTACTGATGTAATTTATTATTGAAACAAAATAGTGATCATTGTCTTTTTCCAAAAACAATTCTGCTTTATGTGAGTCAGCAGATAACCAAGCCCATCCTATATCTGTCTGTCCCCATCCTCAGTTTCTCTCTACCCAAAGTGCTGAAGACCGAATGTTGAACTTTGTCGCGTTCTGATTCGGGTGGTTTTGTTGTAATTTGGACTGTGTGTAGTTCTGTAACCACTGATGAGTTTTGTAGTGCATCGATTTGTATTTGATACATACAGAAGCTTGGCTGCAATGAATTGTATGGTGCCTGTGTGGTTTCAGTCAGGCAACAGTCGTGATAACAAAGTGTGATGATTGTGATCGTGATGTGTAAGATCTCCAGCTGGGGTGTTGCAATATTGGACAAATGTGTTACTGTAAGGATTTGTTATTTTAATTAATTCTTCTGGGTTAAACACATGGTATGTCAGTATTAACAGCAGCTTTTTTTATATAAGTCTTGTAATGCTGAGAGTGATTTGCTGTACCTGCCACATCTGGATTTCTGACTTATTGCTACAAATTTTTTTTAGCCTTGTCCCTCATATTCATAATATTTAATTTAGTAATTTATAAAAAATCTAAAGTTGTTCAGAATTGAAACTATGTCAAGGATTTCAAGCTAATTTCCTTTATGTGCACATTAAGCAAAAGTGGTTTGTAACATACATTAAAGTTTTTTCAGTCAGAGAAACAATTGTACTGCATTTTATTATCGTCCTTTTTAGAATATCCAGCTTCTGTTTGAAATAGGGGTCTTCAGAACTTTTCCTCGTGCCTGTACAAAAGATACTTTGAAACTATATTTGTTATTCTCATAAGTCTGTTTAAAACTGAGAAGTTCATTTCCCAGAGGTTCTTACATTATCATGTTGCACGAACATTTCCGCTGTTGTGGGTCTTCACTTTACAAAGTTATATATCCACTGTTTTCAAATTTCTCATTACTTATCCTTCTTCAGGACAGTCCTATTCTTCCTTTTCCTCTGTAACCTGGTCATGCCACTCATTCTTTATCTTTGTGTTTATTATCTTGACTCATTTTTGTATCTAAAACTGTCCTTGGTATGTTACTATCCACATAATACCAAAAATGACAAGTTGTATGTGGACACCAGAAACAAAGTACTGCATATGTATGTGTGTTTTTATCATACAGTGAAATATCTTGCATTATTGTTCCTGTGTCGGCTTTTGTTCTTGTAATCTTACGTTCAATTTTTATCTGTCCCTTCCGTGGCCAAAATCTGAGTGAATCTGTTATAAGTACAAACTTAAACAGGATAGAAATTATTTTGGAGGAGCTTGCCAGAATTTGAATGTGGTGTATAATTTATTAAATAACAAATTAGGTTGCTTAAGAATAACCAGATTGGTGGCTGGTACAGTTGATGGTACAGACCAGCAGGAAATTGTAAAAATATTGATAGAGTGTCTGTCATTTTCTCAAAGTCCATGTTGTTCAATAAAGGAACGTTCTTTCCAATTGTAAATAAAATTATGACCTCTAAAGATAATTTTACATTTTAATTTGTAAAACTTGTGTGTAATGCTAAAATATGCTTATTTCTTATGATATGTGAAAATTAAATACATTCAGACAGTTCTTATATAGACAAAGAGATCTGTGTGTTTAATCCTCAACATTCCTTTTTTTCTGTATAGTGTAAGCAACACGTGCGGTTTTGTGTATTACTGGATGTCAGGTGATGAATGCAGAATAAACTGGAAAATGGCACCTATAGAATTCCTTTTGATGTTCCAGAAACAAGATGGTGGAACCACACTGTTTTTACCTCCATGTCCTGATGTTCTCATGTAAATCCTATATGCCACTGTGTAATTACAAACATAGACACTTCGAAGACTGGAGCAGAAATGGTAAAATACAACTTGTATTTTTTTAGGTAAACAGTTTGTGAGAGTGTTTTGACTGAATTCATACAGGATCAGGTCCACTGGTAGTATTTGTGCTGATAGTGCTGGAACTGCTTGACCCATTTACAGAGATTGGTACATTATATTTAATTTATGAATATGAAAAATCTAAGTCCCCCATTATGTCTTGTGGGTGCTTCCATCTTAAAAATATTATATATCCATTAATATTAAGATACAGAGTTATCACATCCATCGCATGACCCACTGAAACAAGATTCCATGTATTCCCTTCAAGCTATTCTGTGGTTATTAAATGTGTCCAAAGGGGAATCAATTGCCAAAACGTCAGGTTTTGTTAGGTTAGGTTATATTAGAGATGCGCTGAAGGGGACAGGTAATGACATAATTTTACCTCACAACTGCAAGCAATTTCATGTGATGTTGGTATTGGTAATGTCTCTTTTTAAAATTACATTTTAATACCGAATTCATGTTGGCCTGTTTGTTATAAATTTTTTGTTGTTTTATTTAGCCATAAGAATTCATTTTTGTCATCTTAGGGACTGGTTTTGACAAATCACTCTTTATTTGTTCAAAGTTTGACAGTGCTATACTCAGTGGCTAATTAGCCAGTTTTGAGAGTCATGTGTAACGTTTAAAATTGGCGCATCTCTATTGTTACAGTTTTATTTATCTAATAATCTTATATTTGTATTTGGCTTATGTACCTTAAAACCAATATAATTATAGTGGCTTTATCGCAACGATCGAAACTTTGAGCAAGTGTTTTATAATATTGCTGGAATTATTACGGCGTGTTAGTTGATTAACGTTGTGTTTATTATTTCCGGTTCTCATGCCGTCCGAAGCGGACGTGAAGAAAAAGATGTGGGTATTGTTTTCTTATTTTGTATGAAATTACTTACTATTATGCGCCAACATATACATTCTTTTTTGTATATTCGTAATCTTGTAAAATAAATTAAATTGTGAATTTCAGGGCTCGCAATCGCCGCGAAAACAGCAATGCTAAGAGTGACTCCGATTCGGACGCCTCAGATAAAGAGAACAAGAAGGAGAGAGGTAGGGAGAAAAAGAAGAGAAGTGCGTCTACATCAAGTGGCAGTGGCAGCAGTAGTCGGAGGTTTGTTCGTGTACCTTTCTATCTTAATTTACGGTGTAGAAGTTCATTAATGCCCAATAGGGACTCAATCCCAATGTGTATGCAATACAAGAGCATTCTGCCACCAGGCTTTACCCCCGGGAAAGAATCTCGGTACCCAGTGGCCCCAGAGCCAGTCTGGACACAGAGGCTAGAGAAAACGTCCTCTGCCCCCACCAGGGATCAAACCCCGGTCATCGAACCTGCAGCGAGTCACTATACTGACTGTGCTACCCCTGGCTCATGATCATTTTTTATACCCATACAAAACAAGTGGCAGAATGGTTTTATTTTTATCTGAAGAAAGTAGTTTCCGTTTTGAATCTGCAAATAATTTACAGTTCATCCGACAGCAGCTCACGTTCGTCGAGCGGGTCAAGTTCATCGCACAGTTCAAGTTCTGGATCCACATCACATTCCAGTTCATCTTCTAGCAGTTCGGGCACTTCCAGTACAAGTTCGGGTGCAAGGGCTCAAGCCAAGCGAAGGTATGACTTGTATTCCATGTATATGGCATCGTGTTTGTAGTTAAATATCGGAACAAAGGCAAAGCAAGGACATTCCTGTGAAGAATGCACAGAAAAAGGAATATACAGTAGTTGTGCAACTTCTATTTTATCTCAGTGATGTTAGTTGTCACTGTTACACAAGGTCCTGAATTTCAGGCCCACCAGCGGGAGTCGCAGTCGGAGCAGAAGTGCGGAGCAGAAGAAAATCAAAGAAAAGGAAGACAAGAAAAAGAAACCAGAGAAACCGAAACCCAAAGGACGGTCCAGGTAGGAATTATTATAAGTGTGGTTATGTTTTGGTGTCCTGTAAGAGACATGTAAGTTGAAAGTAATCTGATATATTTATATATATATATATATATATATTTGGAATTCAGTACCGGATAGTACTCCCAAATATCGGGTACATCACTGTATTGTCACAGCACAAGGAAGATGGAGGTTGAATAATTGAATTTATCTCTTTGCCATCTCAGGTCTGCCTCGCCTCGTCGGAAACGTAAGGAACGTTCACCCACTCCGCGTCCCACGAAGATTCACGTGGGGCGCCTCACGCGCAATGTGACAAGGGATCACATTCTAGAAATATTTTCAACATATGGCACAGTGAAGAGCGTGGATTTCCCACAAGACAGACTGCACACCCATACTGGCAGAGGTTTTGCTTACATTGAATTTGAAACTCCGAATGAAGCGGAAAATGCCATGAAACACATGGATGGAGGTATGGGCCGCTGTCGGCAGTGAATGTAATTCTCCACCGCATTAGTATTTGTCAGCATAATGATTTTCTTAAACCCAATGACAAATGCAAATTTAATAGTTTGGTACTTGTGGGTTATCGGGACACATCGCTATAAAAATAGGTTAGGTTAGCTTAAGTTATGTTAGATTAGGTTAATGTGTGGATAAATGACATATACTTGAAAGTTATTATATTTTATTTCAATAAATGACAAATTATTATATTTTATTTTAATATGCATGAGATGTTAATTGTTGTTACTGCCTGTCTCCGGAGGCCAAAATTCGCTTACAGATTTTAGAATCGTTTTAAAAATATCACCGTTAAACAACCGAATATAAGGGTATACTGATATGCATGCACAGTTTTCCATGCCAATCCAACTCCAGATATTCGACTCCCCGTTTTGTGTCCCGATAACCAACAAGTACCAATAGTTTTCATATTCTTATTTTGGCAAGGAATGGAGCCGTGAATGTATATAGCCACCACATAAAATAGTTATTTAAAACAAAAAGATTCCCCTTTCAGTAATATGGCTGTCATCGGTGGTCAGAACAGTCTGAAACAGTCATTTTGAGCTTTATTCTGTTGTTCGCATAAAATATTAAATCATTGCATAGAGTGTACTGCTGTTGATCTAAGGACACCGAGTCCAGTGTGTGCGTGAGGAGTGCCTCAATTTTATGCTGACAAATTTTGTTTACAGGGCAGATTGATGGGCAGGAAATAACTGCAGCACCGGTACTTCTTCCTAAACCGAGGCCCGTGCCACCTCGTCGCAGTCCACCCGTGCCTCTTCGAAGACCGCCTCCTCGTTGGGGACGTTCTCCACCTCGGTGAGGGTCACTACTGTTATCACCTTATGACGTCTAATAATTTATTTTTGTATAAGTCAATTTATATATTAATTTTTGTCAGTGAATGGACGGCATCATATTATTTAACTTTACAGATACCGTCGTCGCTCCCCACCGCCACCAAGAAGAAGATCTCCGCCTCCACGGCGTCGCCCACGTACGAGGTCCCGTTCTCGTAGTCCGGCACGAAGACGTCGGTACAGTCGTTCCAGTTCAAGCAGCTCTCGTTAGTTGATCTGGCGTAATTGAGCCGTTATCGATCCTTTGCATCATGCGGGAACTGCTACTTGCTGTTTCATATAGCAAGCATTTTTGTGAATGAACATTCATTGCCATTACTGACGATACATTTCCCCCCCGCCTTTCATGAATCCGGGGTGCATTTGTCGTGGCGCTCCTGTCAGAGAGAACCATCTGTATAGGGGTGCAAATTTTGTAGATGATGTGTAGTAAATATAACAAAGTTCTACTTGGTGTTTCCTTATTTACATGCACCCTGAGTCTGTCCAGACTTAAATTTTATTTCTTGTGTTTATATTGACACTGTTTGTTTTAAATGTGTTTGTATTTTCTTTATAAATAAAAAGTGTTTGTTCACGATGTAAGTACAAACCGCGACAGGCCGAGTGTATGAAGTGGGAGGCCAGTAATGGTTCATTATACAGGGTGTGCGGGAAGTAAGTAGGCATTAAATAATCGCTATACATTGGAAATATAGAGGTTATAACCATTTCTCAATGCCTCCTTACTTCCCACCCATCCTGTATATAATGTGACGGTGTGTTTATATGAAGCTTCACTTTATGACTTGATTAACGTCCATCATAAGATTGAATTTTACACTCGACTTTTAAAATGTGTGTTCAAGAAGACACATTTTAAGATGAGACACACATTAATTGGTAATTTTTTTTTTAAAAGTGATTGTGTATGCAGTGTAACCTCTTATGAACAGGCTTAATGAAGACTGGTGGTAAAATGCAGGCTGGAAACACTACAATGTAAGAGCAACAGATCATGGAATGAAGGTTATTTATGGCACATTGTAATAACAAGCGATTCCCAAACAACCAATTTTTTCTACCTGTAGCTTTATTCTAACTGTACTTGCAGTTTTGCTTTTGAAGTTATTTATAAACGTGTAAATTTACCAATAGCCCATCTTACATGCCACTCATGAGTATAGATAAAAAGGTCTATACAAAAATTAGCTTATTTCCAATTTCCAGCTAATGGGAATTGGTCATCATATTCTGTGCCATGACAGAAACCAATGTTTGCTTGCCATCCAGCCACACCATTTTTTTTGGGTTGTTCACTTATCGAGAACACAAACTTAAGCAGCACATAAGCTGTTTTGTAGACTCCAAGGAAATATGTAAGAGGTATTGTTTGGCTACTTAAAGTATGCTTAAATGAAACCCATAGTAAGTCCATATAGATAAGCATTTCTGTGTTGTATTTCCTATTCAGAATTATCTAAAATAAGGAGATAACTCCGTTACCATCACTTTCCATTTTCACTGTACAGTATGCCATTAGGAAGGCCCCCCAGCAAATCACGAACTCGAGTTAAATAAGATGCATGAGGTGAAAACAAGGGCTCAGAAGAAAAAACTAGTACTTGATAACAAGATTTGTATATTAGTAGATGCACAGGGAAGTAACCTAATGTTAATTTATTGTTGCTGGACAATAAGTAAGGACAAAGTAACGGAACTAATGTAGTCACCATGCCATAAAGATGAATAGTAATATGCATGTATAGTTCCATACTTTATTAAGATGGTTCTACAAACATTTATTTATACAAATAAAGGCGCATCGCACTTCACCCTATTCTCCGGAACCGTGGTTCCACTGTCAATATTTGTGCATTGTAGCTTAGTCCGAGACTTGTTAAGATTGCAATGGGCGATAAAAATCCCATTTAAGAATATGCAAATTAAGATGTCTAAAAGATCTTACATATATTATGCAAAACTTTGTGGTTAGAATTTCCCAGCTAAATAAACGTAGCAGGACTTGAAAATCTTTTAATGTGGCCTCCCTCTTGTATCCCAAATAATTTTAAGTTGGCAACGTCTGCTCGGGGAAATTGTACATAATGAATTGCCCACGACGTACCGACTGTAGGTTATCTATGGGTACGGTAGAGAAGAGAATTTGTTCTAGTTGGCGAAGTGACATTCTGTATTGTCGTCTCAGTGGTTTATTGTTATTATTTACAATAACATAAGGTTGTCAAGCTATTTGTATGTGGAATTCAAGAATTTGGCTGTGCTGTGTACAGATGGTCTTCTGAATGTGATATTTATTAAGGTTTAATTCACGACACCAAAGTTGAGCACTGTGAGTTTTAGGAATCGCAAGAGTTCGAATCAAGAATTGAAATGCTGTCATACGCGATTTTCATATTATTAGGTGTTAACTTCCATCCAGTTCAAGTTGCTCACTCGTTCACGTCGGCGTAATTCTACATATTTGGTTGCACAACGGTTGGGGGGGGATTTAGACAAATATTTCACGTGACTTACACAAATGGCAAAATTTTAGTATGAAGGGTAGGATGTGACGTACAAATAATGTAAATCTCCATCCGTATAAACTACGTTCATTTATTTACACACATTTGTCAGTTTCCCATCATTATCATGCATTAATGGTTCAGAAGAATTGTTATGTACAAAGTTAAATATTGGGATGAAATGTGGTGGTAGTGTTTGCATGAGAGATCTGCAGTAACAAATGCTATTGGATGAGGATTCCACTTTCATGTGGAACTGGATTATGCTTTTAGAACATCCCTGAAGTCATCAGTGTGTTACTTTATATCCAAAAACTACTTTCAAAATTTATTTCACAATGAACTAACTAAACACCATATCTTTGTTCAGTATTACAACACAATTTGTCATAACAAATTAACCACCTTTTTGACACAGTCTCTTTATTCGGCACAAACCATTGAACTGTTAGTACGAGTAGAGGTTAGCTATGCATTCTAGAGTGATGAAAGTGGTCAGTTGCATGCTTTTGCCACTTTAACCTCAGAATGGAATATTGGTTAACCAATTCAAAGCCATTCACTTTACTGACTGATCAATCCTGACTCATGACTAGCTCATAAGTCTCACTGCTCATTACTAATTCAAGTATTGATTACACACAACGTTGCTTAACTTCAGTGATCTATTAAGTAGTAGTGTTTTCAAATGATATGACAGATATTTCTTTCACATGTAGAGAACCAAAACATGGAGCCATCCTTCATGAGCTCTGACAGCAATTGTTTGTTCTTTTAAGTTTCAACAAATATTGACACAGTATGAGTGAGAACAGTAACTCGGAGGAGTCAGAAGAGGCCATTAGCCAGCACCTTGAAGGTTTGTGTTGTGAAAGGGTACAACGTGTATAAAGTGGTGTTATAGTTTTTAGGAATTATTGTTGAGCTTTTTCTGACATGATATCAACAGAGATTTTGAGGAAATGTTTGTATTGAGAAATATAGTTTAAAGAGAAATATAAAGTTATATTTTTTGAAAATTACTGCATCTGCTGTATTTTAAATTCTTTATGCACTTTCTGTTTGTTGAGTTAACATTTGGCCCCTTAATCAGATGTGCATTGCTTGTAGTTATGCTGCTTTCTCATGTCTGTTGTCAACTCGAGATTTTGTAACTGTTTTTGTGATACACTGACAAGTTTCTGTTTATTGGCATCATGTGCAGACCTAGGAATGCTGGAAGATGGCATGACTTTAGATGATAAACGTAGTCTGTGGACAGTGGTCAAGATATCTCAAGACACTGCAAAGGCTGAAGAACAGGACCGCCAAAAGCAAGCAAGACGAGCCCTGCAGTTCGATCAGGTGACTTCAGTTCCATAATATTACACAAACTTTAATAACAGGCTGTGGTTTTGAGGCTGCAATATACAATAGACAAACCAGCATTGTCTGTTTTATTCTTATTTGTTTCTTACTTATAGCACTTTGTTTTGTTTTTATTTCAGTTTTAGAAGGAAATGGTTACAATTGAGTTTGTATTTATTGCTAAGGTCATGTTGCGGGTTTCAGGTATCGTCAAGAACTGAATCATCATCTGGATCAGAGGAAAGCCCTGATATTGTTGTTCGGTCTCCCACCTGTAAAGGAGAAGACAAGACAAGTGAAGAAGAGAAAAAACCTACCATCGCAGCCGTATTACCCCAACTGCGCACTACACCATTGGCTTCGGTGGCACCTAGTCAGCGCACGACAGCTACTGTTCTTCCTCTTTTCCGTTTCTGCGAAGGCGACATGTCTCAGGATCAGACTACTGTAAATTCAGGTTCTGCATCAGTGCCGTCATGTTCTGAGTCGAACCCAGTCGACGTTTCACAAAATCAGCAGGTTGATTCAAAATTTGAGGATTCTCATTCTCCAATCAGGTGTGTTGCACAGCCATCAGTGAGGCGGCACATGAGATCAAGTCCAGATGTGGAGATGAAAGAGTTTAAGAAACTGAATCCCAAAAATAATTTGTCAAGGTTAAATTCATCTAGTTCCCCACTCTCGAGACTGTCTGATAAAGAGCAGGATGAACTTCAAACAGTACCACAAACTGAACGTGTAACGGAGGTATTAAAGTCTGAAGCCCCTCATAGGAATAGCGTCATGACAAGTAGTGACGTTCCTAAACTTACCTTGTCTTCAAGAAAATCTGTTGAGCACCGTGAACAGGGTACTACATCGTCTTCGACAGTCCCTGTTAAGTCGTCAAAACATTCTGATCAGGATGCGCTTGTGTCACCTGTGTCCAACTCTCAGGAGTCATTCCTAGTTAGGAGGATGCAGCACAGTTTAAGAATGTCAAATGATCGGAAAAATGACGTCAAAGAGAAAATTAATGACATATCTGAAATTAATGAAGACTGCTGTGAAGAGAATAATTTTGATGCCTTAAAGGAACAAACCGAGGATATGGAAAAAATGACGCCCGGTTGTAGTTCTGTAGATAATGTGCCTTCTTCATCGAGTTACTCGCCATCAAACGAAGCCAAATCCAAGGAAAATTGTAACAATAGTAGGGACACCAAAAAAAAAGTTTCAGAGGACCGAGAAAGAAACATTAATGCCTTCGACTGTGATAGGAGCAATTATGGACGGACTCTGAAAGCTCGCAAGGCGAAGAGGGCGCGCTTAAGACTGCCATTTTACATTCCTCCACGCAAAATGGACATCCACACTTATATCACGTATTTCAAGACGAGCATTAAGGAGCAGGCGGTACGTCTGATCGAGGTGAGTTGATTGCTAGTGGAATATGGTTTTCAAGCTATTTCATTATATCATGTAACCTGTGATAATTGAATAAAATTTATTTCATATGCGTGGATTTTGTTGCGATTGAAGGGGATTAGATTCGAGCTTTGTGATCTTTTGTGTGGATTGTGTGCTCTTTCTTTGCACAAACAGTTGGTTTGTAAGTCATTTCAGATCATTTGTAGCGTATGATGGCCTGGCATTGCGTTGCGTGTTATATATATCGGCAAATCTCTCTTCCCTGTATGAGATTGAGTCAAGTCTTAATGTAATTCTTACCTCTCCTTGTAAGTTTGCAACAGGAGATAATATCTGCGAACAGTATAATGGATTTTATACTTAAAAGTTGAAATGT